GTGATTAGTGAGTTCAGGGAAACAGAGCACAACATGGCTTGAATAGTCAAGAAATATTGGAACAAAGCTGGGAAAGCTTGGGACAATTCTAATGTTTATCAGAAAATATTTTCACGCATTTGTTTAAATTTACTTTTTACTTTAATGAGAAAATATTACTTATGGCTTATAAAAACACGTTTACCATTTGCCATTCTCGTTTTAAATCATAACTTAAAGTTTAAGAAAATAAAGGTTATTTGGTTTTATTGAATAAGCAACCAAAGTGACCCATGTCATGAGCTACTTGCAAATATTTTGTTATCTGCTTACTTATATAATATATCTGCTTACTTTTATATAAGAAAGGGTTATTGAACAAATTTAACTTGTACTTAAGGTCAAGGAATAATAAAAAATATATAATTTATCTTGTCCGGCTTAATTCACAAGGCGATTTTTATGTTGTTTTATTTCAATTTATGTCATTATTCCAATTATAATTATTCTGTGTGTATAAATAAATAAACATGTGATTGCTGTTGGGTTCTGATAAAGTAATGTACATTTTTATAATTTTGTTATACATATGGCTGTTTGATTTCGCTCCTATATAAAATATTTGTCATAAATTGCCATTTTAATCACAATTTCTGACAGTGCCTTTGGGCCGCCGAAAAAGTGAGCTGCCAAAATAGCATAATCTCTGCCTGCACTCGCACTTGACTTGATTCGACTTTCCCTGCCCGATAATGGCCACAGCTCACGCGAGGTGGAGTGGGTGGATTGGGTGGATTGGGTGGATTGGGTGGATTGGGGGTGGAAATGGAGGTGAGAGAGGGAGGGGACAGGACAGGGACAGTGACAGGCGGTAAGCGGTAAGCGGTTAGGTTGACAGCTGGCGGGCTTGCAGTTGACTAACTTCTTATCTCCTGCCCCGCGGCCGCTGAATGTGTCGGCTCTGTTCGCGCCTCTGGAAATCCTTTCTTCTATCTCGCTGACATTAAATGGGATATTATCGGGACGTCGCATACCTATTAAATATGCAATAAATAATATGAGAATTCCACGCTGAGTCACGGCATAAATTTAGTTGTCCCGGAACGCATTATAAATGACTCAACCTTCTGGCTTCTGATAAATGATGGCGGAGAAAAGTGCAGGGAAACTGATATTGACAGCACTTACATTTCCAAAAATATTGCTCAATAATTTAATATTAAGGCCAGATTTCTCTTGGAATTTCCCAAAACTATTCAGGCCATTATATTGTTCTCTTGGGTAAATGTTTTGTAGGAATATCAAGATGTTAATGTTTGCGTAAGAATAAGCATTAGATTTATCTCACTTACTATCTCTTTTTACAACTTCAGTTGCGGTTAGGCGCAGGCCAAACAAAGTCATAACACTAACTGAAGTAAAATAAAACTAAGCCCAACCAGTTAGCACTCAATACGGACACATCACATTTACGTATGCATCACCATCACGATGATTTAAGCATTTTATCCTGCAACATCGTGCCGCACGCCACAAGGCAGGCCACGACAATAAATTTAAATGGCCATTTCCACTGTGGCAAAATGGATAATAACCCATTTGATGTACGGACACACTTTTTCCATTAAGCCAAATACAATGCGATGCTTGCGCACCGGAAAAATATGGCCTACAAGGCGTCCGGAACGGGATTATATGGGGCGGGACTTAAACACTTTAACGCCCGCAACTTACGGCACACACACATTACGCATACGCACGATTGGCCCATAAAAAATCATTTCCCTATTCATGGCGATTGCTAACTGTTTTTAATTGAAATCGTGTCGGGTCTCCATCAAACGGTATTAGCTGGCTGGCAAAAGTCGTTCTTGTTCTCTATTCATAATATGAAAGCTCTCGTACATTACGTATACGCAGTGGTGCTCTAGCTGAAAACCAGTTTAGTTATTAAAAAAACAGTAAAACTATTTTTAAATCCATTCTAACTTAATTAAAATCTTTATTCCAATTTTACACCGACACTAGTCTTTCTAATGCATATTACTCATAAATTACCTATTTTGCATATTACCCATACGCAATAGTAGTGGTCAAAACTGAAACCATTTAGGCTATTAAAATATGAAGAACTCTATTAAAGCTCACAATAATCAATTGTCGTCATTCTTTTTTATTAAACTTAATATGGTCACAAGAAATTTTATATGCATTCACTTTTTTTTTTTACCTATCACAATTTTCACGAATTACGTATACGCACCGTGCTCAAATGGTCCTTGTTTGTTTGTTTGTAAATGATAAATGCATTTTTATCGAATTCCAGTTTGTTCTGTGACCTATCAAACGATTAATTTTCATTTTAAAAGTTTTAAATTGAAATCGTGTCGAGGCCTTATCATTTTTTTTATCAAAAGCGGTGCGATAATTTCGTCACTTGTTGGCAAAACTCATTTGCAACTCAATTTCCTCTGGAAATTCAATCAAACCCGTCGACAGGCCGTCAATTATGACATTATCACGAACAGAAAACTAAGTTCCAACTTGGCACCCCCTTGCAGTCCCCCCCGCAACATTGTCCCAATTAGAAAGTGGGTCCGTGTGCGTTTATCTATATATGCTACCGCTTCTGCTGATTCTGCTGCTGCTGCTTCTGCTTGTTGTTATTGCCAGCGCTCCTTCTAATTTGCATGCCCCTGCACACACACACCGCCTGTAATTGAATTAGTTTTAATGCGATATTCTGGTGCGATAAGGCCGACACCCAGATAGCTCTTTTTATTCGTTTATGAACGGTCGTTTATCAATTGCAGCTCGCACAATTTACTTGCAATTACCCAAACAAAAGACACAGTAAAAAACGCACGAAAAACCGAAAGATATAAAAAAAAAACCGAAAAAAAGAAAAGCAGAGAGGCACAATAACAAAACAGCTAAAATAAGAGCACGTTTTCCGAAGCAAACGGAAAATACGTTTGGTTTCGTATAGTAAACTTAAGAGATTTTTCTTTGTGGTTAATCTATCTGAAAAAAAAACAAATTTTAAGATGATTTTTCAAGTATTTGTTTTGTATGTTGTTTTTTTATTTACTGAGTTTATTTTGACTTCCACGTGTTCTAGTCTTCATCGAATTTATGAGAATATTTGTATTTCTTTTTAATCATTTAGTTTTAATTTTAGTTTTAAATCTGAATTTTAGTGTGCAGAATTCAACCAATATTTTTTTATTTTATTCAAAAACAGATCAAAAAACTGTTTCTAGATTTAAATTTAAAATTTGTTAAAACACCTTCAAGTGTATTAAGTTTGGTGGTTGCTTAGTGTCACTTAACATATTTTCAATTTGCTGAAATTAATTGCACTGCACTCTGCGGTTACCCCGCCCCCGCTGGATCGTCTCGCATGCCACAGTTTTGTGATATGCGGTGATAAAAAGCTAATCATGCTGCTGCTCTCATTACCTGGGCGATCCACCTCCACCTGTGCCGCGGAACAGGTGCAAGAATTGCAGATGCGAATTGCAGATGCCAGCGGAATTCCCTCAGAGCGCGCTCGGCAATCCAATCAGAAAATTGGGAAGCGGACTCGAAATCGCAGCGTTCTCGACGCGTCACATGAACTTTTCAGACTGAGCGGCGATTCGGAAGCGAGCGGCCAGCCGAGCCAAAAAAAATGAGAGCAGCGCGGCCGAAGAAAGTCGACTCCGACGCCGACGCCAACGTCGCCGGTAGCCGGTAGCAGAGGCAGCGGCAGCAGCAGCAAAAGTGGGCGCATGTAAAAAAGGGGGGAGTGAACCCGAGCGTGGGCGTGCTCCGATGAACAGCCACTCCGAGTCGGAATCGGAATCCAACTGAGTGAGTGAAAACGAAAGCGGAGCAAAGCGGTCCGAACTGGGAAAATCCCGATGCGGTCGTAAATCATAGGATTCTATTCCAAAATATTTAAAGCATCCATACTAAAGTACATTTTAGTAAAATAAACAGTTCAATGGAAGAAAAATATATAAATAATGAGCAACTGATCATAAAAAAGTTGCTTACGCAGACGTTTTTTTAAACCAAAAAGAAAATAATTGAAAGCTTATCAAAATAAGGACCTTCATGAATAAGATGTTAAATGTAATTAATGTAGGAAATGAGTAATAAAATAAACCAATAGAAAACCAAAACTAAACAAAATAGTCAAAATTGTGAAGCGGTCAAAAAAACGTAGGATTTTAAATTCCTGCTAGGTAATTTAAAGTTAAACAAAAAGTTCAACAAAATGGAAAGTAATCAATTTTAAAATTAGTTTTTAGTAAGATAGAATGTAGATAATAATTTACGAATAAGGAACAGCTTTTCTTTCTAGATTAATAAAAAAGTTTTAATTAAGAAAAAGAGCATATTGGTGACAAAATCAATTAAACAATTATTTATTTAAAGAAATAAAATGATGTAGGTACTCTCACTGAATATTAAGTGGGTTAAACTGAAAGCAGCACAAAGCGGTCGGAACCGACCAAATCGGTCAAATCGCAAATCAATGGATTCTTTATGTTCTCCCAGCCAAACAGTATTCCTACAAATTAGAAACAATCAAATGTAATTGCCACAAATTAATTGAAGTAAAACAAACAAAAATAAAATTCAATAGAAGCGAGTATGGAAAATAATAATTAAAAAGGGAAAGTAGATAAAAAATCAGAGGTAAACATTTAAATTCAAATAAAATAGGTATTTAGAAACAAGATGGACTACATTCGTTCTTCCACTCAAAAAATATTTAATTTTAAATAGAAATGAGCACAAGATAAGCTCTCATACTATTAACTTTTTGCACATGAATCCAAATACACACAAAGCACATAGTATCCACAATGTAGTAGCCAAATTTAATTAAACAATCTTCTAATAGCAGAGATACACAACCACAGATGTTCAAGTAGCACTGACCCGAAACGCAATAAAAAACTTTGCGGTAGTAATATACGTAAATACTAAATGAAACTGGAATTAATTGAAAAACAATTATTGGATAATTAATTAATCATCATTAAATTTGTTGTATTTTTTTATTTTTCATCTTTTTATCTTCATTAAATCCAGGCTACTGGAATATACTCCGTAAAAATTACAAAACATTTTTTTTAATCATTTTATAATCCAGTTTATGTAATTAAAGGATACAAAATCACATTTGGCGTCGATCCACTACTCGCCCTTGTAGTTTTTTTTCACGTTTGTTTTTGGTATTGAAAGTCGAATTGTTTAACAAATTTAACTCAAATTTAAATAAAATTAATATCTAAATTAAAATTAGGCACTGTTTATGTCGCAGATGTCGTATCTAAATGTTTTTAACTGAAGAAGTACACAGAGTCGAGTACGTTGCGCAGGTCGAAATCTCCCTTCTGGGGCAGTTGCTTCAGAGTGCGGTTCAGCTGGCGCTTGGACAGATCCTCCACGGAGCCATCGTTGGTGAAGTCGCTGCAGGAACAATATGCATTTTAAGAAAATGAATTTAGTTTTATAGCCTCATCACTTACTTGTCCTTAAAGCTGTACGTGTGCTTCATGAACTCGGAGAGCTGCTCCAGAATGGGCTGCGAATGCAGGGCTACAAACTGCTCCCGACACATCCGATTCAGCTCGGGCACGGTGTTGGCGTGAGTCCAGAAACAGTCGTGAACGGAGACGAAGGTTATGCCCTGCCGTTCGCAATGCAGCGAGGTGAGCATCATGTGCGACGAATCCAGCGAATGGATAAAGTTCGGCGGGAAGGCGTTCTTCTGCTTGAGGATGTTTGGTCGCTCGTACAAGTCCATTGGCAGGTTGGCGTTGACCTTAAATCCAGTGCGGGGAGAGTGCTTCATCTCTTGGCGATTGTACGGCTGCACCACCGGCAGACCTAGTGGCGTTACCCACTCCACGTTCTGGCTACAAACTCCGGAAATAAGACGGGCGCACTCCGTAAACCAATCCTGAATCTCCCTGGTCGATGTGAACATTTCTCGCAGGCTCTCGAACGTCTTGGTGGTCAGGTATGTGGACGCTGGCCACACCCACTCTTTGGGAAACTCATCAATGTCCTTTAGCTGGCGGGCAATTTGTAGTCGCGCTCCATAACGGGTCACCCCATAAACCGTGGTCATCACGGTTTGCTTGATAACCTTGCGTCGAACGAATCCGGCGAGTGCTTCCGCTACATGTAGTCCATTCTGAGCATCGGTTTTCCTGCTCCTCTCCACTAACGTGGCCACCGCACTGTAAACGTCCTGGGGAATGGCCGATGGTGCTAGGTTAACACTACAAGCACCCGCTTCATCCCTTCCTAAAGCTGCGTAGTGCTGCAATCCATTGCAGGATCCATCCTGGTGGATGGGGAAACGACTAAGATAGGCGGCGGGATCGGGACTGCGATATACATTGGCGATTTCCATGCAACAGGCCAGCGTTTGCCATGGTTCATCCGATTTGGACCACCACATGCGCCCGGTGAGGGGACTGTCCGCAGAGTCAAGTATATCTGGCATAATTTCTTCCGCGTACAAAAGACGTTCCCTCACTGAATCCCGCTTTTTCAGTCCAGTCAGATTGATGCAGTGCAGCTTGAGCCAACTGAAACCATCAACTCCCAGGGGCTGCGCCTGATCAAAGATGAGCATCGAACGAGCCAAATCCGAGCCAAGGTGATTGAGATGCGGTGGCACGGGATAAACTCGACCACGGAAGTCCATGTTGTGTGGCAGCCAGAAGACTTTATCTCGGTACTAAACAAAAAACAATTTTAGAAATTTGAATGGACAGACCGCTTAAGGAATACTTACATGCTGTGCCAGGGACAACCTATAGAGCGCATCACACCACAAGCTGTACATCTCGGCCTGCTTCCTTCGATGTCCCAGCTTGTCCCGGAATTGCTTCGCACGATCTGCACTAGAGGCAGCGTTACCATCCACATTCTTAGCCGGCAGCGTGGGAAGAGGAGGCAGGGAACTAGGAGGCTGTGGGACATCCAGTTTCGCATCGCCACCTTTCTGGAACACCTCGATGATCACATCCAGCAGCTGCGTGTTAACACGCCAAGGAACACTGGCCAGCTGATTTAGGGAATCTAGAGCAGGATAAAGATGCTGAGGATTGGAAGAGGAAATTCTGTCCCACTGCTGGATGGCTTGGTGAGGCAGGCGAACCAGTTCCGACTTGTTGAGTAGATAGCCACCATTGTGTGGAGTACTCCACGGTTGCGGAGGACACAGCATGGGTACCAGATTTGAATCGAAGGTTAGCGTCTGCTGGCGTGAAGCTCGAAATAATCTCGAAAGAACTGGATGTGGCTTGACCTCCTCTTTAACGAAACGTCCCTGATTGCGAAAGAGAGTATAGAAGGCAGGCAGCATATTTTGCGTCTGATTAGCTGCTTTGGTTTTGCTCTTTAACCTCATGATATGAGCGTCAATTTTGATGTCCCGCATCAGAATGTTGTACAGAAAACGACCCACGCCGGTCAAAACGTTGGAAGGCCACGGCACCTCTGGCAGATCCATACTGGGTCCACTGTCTCGCTGATCGTGCACAAGACGCTGCCATGCCTGTCGCGTGTTATCCTGTGACTTCCCGCTGTCCCACAATTCACAGTACGAGCTGTATATCTCGCCAATCTTCTCCAGCGTTCCGTTGTTTTTTTTCTGTTCAATTTGGTAACGCTGCTGAACTTTCTGTCCGAGTTCTTTGTACAGCTGACCCACAGTTGGACTGAATGTTTCCGAGCCCTCAGCCAGCTTGTAAAGCTCCTTGATGAGGATGTCTGCAAAGTGTGATGTCTCCAGGGTTTTCAGGTACGTGTAGTAGTTCATGAAGCCGTGCGGCTTAAACCGCACTTGCGCCCGCAGCGTGTTGAGATCTCGCACGATGGCCGACGAAATTTGTTTCCGCCAGGTTTCCTCCAGTTCTTTAAGGCGCTGGCGCTACAATAGATTACATTTCCAAATAAATATAATGAATTTGCTCTGATTTTAGTTCTAACTTACACATTTTTCCGAATTCGCGAACTCCTTTGATTTTTCGATTGACTTTATGGTAATGCTTCCGTCCAGCTCTATTTTAAGCTGTTCCCGAGCGAGCTGCTCCAACTGAGCAGTGGTGTAGCCTCGCTTAGAGTTCATTATGGCATAGTCTAAGTCCTTATTTCCAGCTTTTTTATCAGCACCAACAGGTAAAACATGCTCATTGAGATGGTTCAGCAGTTCGTTGTCGTAACCCAACTGTGGCGGAACATAGGCAGGTTTGAAATCTGGACGAAGCCGTCGAATAGCATCCAGGGCAATGTCCCGCTGATCAGCCACGAACTTGGATTGATCCATAATTTGATTCAAGCTATATCCCTCCGTTTCAGCTTTAGCGATGTATTTTGATATAAATTGCTGGTTCTCTTCATCCGGTTCCAAGCGACCCAAGCACTCGAAAATAGCCGCGTAAGTTTGCTCATTGAACGCCAAGTTATCCTCCTCGATGAGGTGGAACAGCTCCTGTGCCCGATCGAAGGAGCCCTTGCCCGCATAGCCGTGCAAAAGGATATTGTACAAATGGATGGTCATGAGGCCTTCGGACATGTGCGGCAAAGTACTCTTCCTTATCCTGCCTCGATAAGCAATAATGGTGGACAAAGCGCGGCTCAACATATTGGCTGAAACACACACATTCAGGTAAGTGTTCAGGTTTATGTGCAGTGCCCGCTGTTTGGCCAAGCGTTCTTGTTCCTCGTTCACGTGAACTTTTGACTTGAAACTAAACGGAAAATAGTAAGTTTTTTGGTTGTTTATTATGGGTAAGTCTGCTCACCGTTTTTTGGACTTGGCTGTAGCTGCAATTGCATTGGGCGTAACCACGGCTGTTACAGAAGGTTTACTTTTGTCCAGTGGATTAATGTACGGTTCAATGGCTTCGAAAGGATCTAAGACTTCATGTTCTTCGGGGAGCACTTTGGAGGTACTCATCCTACCAGATGGAAAAAAAAATTATTCATTCATTTTAATATAAAAAACGTGATATGTAAAGCAAACAAATAGACATACCCAAAATCCATTTCGTGATAATCATTTCCCATGCTCTCGATAATGTCCCGAAAATTATGAAAGCTCTTAAGGATATTTTGCACCTCCTCGGGATTCGCTACCACTTGCTTGGTGTACTCATCCTTGCCGAAGAAGAGCAGTGGCCGATCATCGTATATGCCTGATTCTAGAATCGACCCATCCAAGGCCTCCATGTCGATTTTCTGATACTCAACAGGTTGCCGTTGCGCCAGGTCCAAACCTCCTTTGGACTTCTTATCCTTGCGATCCTCCCGGGCACGTCTTTCGAGGATCTGTTGCTGTGTTTTCTGTATGAAATCAGCTAGCTTTTTGGATTTCAGCCGCTTAACCCGGGATTTGCGTTCGCTGATTGCCTGTTCGGTGACTGAATGAGGAGAAAATGGCTTTAGATATGCTATAGATTGGTTAGAATCCTAGCTAGGACTTACCTTCCAGGAGTTCCACATATTTGGCGTATCGAGGCTTGCGCAATCGTTTTTTTTTCGCCTGGGTCAATGCATCTGCCTGTGTTGTTGGTGTTGTTGTTTGCGCGCGTGTTGTTGTTGCTGCTGCTGTGATAGTCACTGCAATTGGAAAGCACATGTTTGTACTCCTTTTAGCACTTTCTACAAATATTACTCACCTGCCGGCTTTTGGCGGTATAGCATTTGATAATACTGCTGATAATGGACAAAATTTGAAGGCGCAATTTCGCCGCAGCCGCAGCATACTGTTGTTGTTGGAGCTGGGTGGGCGGTAGGTGGCACCCGAAGTGCTTTTTGCACGGCGGCCGCTCGATTTGCACTCAACAAACGATACATTTTGAAAGACTGCAGCTGGGGAATACAATCCTCGTGAATGTCATCCAATTAACGCAGTTTTTGACTGTTTTAAGACACAATTTGTTGCATAATTTAGCTCGAACCCCGACCAATTTGTTGTTTATTCCTCTTCACGTGTGGCGGTGCGCAAGCAGTCTGCAACACTGCTTGCGCCGCTGAACAGCTGATTGGAAACTAGGGATGGGAAGCAAAAAATACTAAAAATATACTGCAAAGTATCATAGCTTCTGTTACAAATAAATAAGTTTAAATTTTGAAGCGACTGCATCGATGTGTATGGTTTTTAATTATGCAAGAGATATAAAACTTTTTATGCTTCCTTGGTATTATTTACCTTGCCTAGTATTATTTACCACCTGGCCTGGATTGCTGTACCGTTGCCAACGACTTTTCCGTTAGAGTTCAAAAACAAAATAAACACAATTCAAAAGTTTGAATGAAAAATGCCGCCAAAAAAGGCGAAAAAGGGGGCGTCGAGCAAGCCGGATGAGGATGTGGGCATCCATCCACCGCCGCCGAACGTGTTCCTGTACATCCAGCTGGCCAACATCGCCAATCTGCCCACAACGGAGCACCGTCTCGAGATTCACATCAGCCAAGGCGACAGCCTGATCGTCAAATGCAACGAGCACTACAACACGGATGGGATCATAATCCAGTCCGAATTCTACGAGAAGCCCACATTCACGCTGATCTTCCAGCAGGACAATGTGGATAGGATCAATCATGCGGCCGACAATCCTCTCCTGATTCAACTCTACATGCGGGTGTTTCCCCCAAAGCGGAACTTTTTATTGGACACGGAGGACGAGATGCTGGAGGAGGAGGGGGAGCATGATGATGTGGTAGACTCCGATTTCGTCTTATCTACGGTGCAAACAACGGAGCAGGATGACGATTTCGAGGCCAGGGAGACGATAAAGTTGGTACTGCTCTGTGTGGGCTATCTGGATGTGATCAAGTTGTTTGGCCACCGACGCAGTATGATCTCCGAACAGCTCTTCCTCTATCCCATGCCGGATGTGCCCAACGAACTCCGCTGCACCGTCCACACCGATTGGCACCTCTACACCCTGCTGCCCATCGCCAAGAAGCTGACCTTCACCAACATGGCCTTCGTGACCTTCGAGAGCATCTACAACCTGAAGGAGGAGTACATTCTGGACATGGATTCCCTGCGGTTGCGCCTGAGTTTCCGATCCCGGCTGCCCAGCGACCGCAATGACTATACCTTCATCCCGCTCTGCGAATTCGGGAACCTGGAGCGGAAGCTCATCAGCTCGCAGGACAATCATCATGTCTTCGAGTCCTTTCGGCAAAGCGTGTACCCTTGGAACGTGACCGGCCTGAAGTCCGCCATGGAGGTGGAAATGCATCAAATCTTCTCGGAACTTTTTTACTCGGAGGGCCTGACGGTGGACTTTGAGGAAATCGAACAGAGTGCGGACGAGGCGCTCGTCTGCAACTCCTTCCATCGCTTTATCCTCACACAGCAGATGGCAGACATCCTGTCGTTCGCCATCACCTGTCAGCAATATGTCCTGGCAGTGGAGGTGTTCCAAGCCGCAGGTGGTGCCAAGCCACAGAAAGTCTTCCAGGGCGTTCTCGATCCGTCTATTATGGCCTTTCCGGGGGGTGAGTTGAGCTAATATGACTTGTTATTGGTAGAGTATATTCTTGACCAGAATCGATAGCCCATTGGATCTTGGAAACTCTATATATATGTTCAAAAATTTTGCCCGTCAGGCAATTAATAATAATGTTAAGGATGTGTCAGGTATAAAAGTTTAAGATAATTCTAGGGCACATCCGATTTTCTTAGCTATAAGTTATAAGTTAGACTATAGCTATCATTCTTCTAACGCTAATAAAATTCCTTTTCTAACAGTGCAAAACATGAGGTTCGCTGTCCAGCTGGACTACCTGGGCAAGCTTAAAGCCAAGAGGCAGGTGAGCATATTGAGCGGGAAGAGCTTGGACCACCAAAAAGTCCAGCCCACTTTTGCCATCATCAAGTTGTGCCTGCTGGCGCCGATTGGGGAGATCTACAAGGAGCTGAAGGTGTTCCGCGACAGCTTTGTCCGGCAAAATCGACTGCTCTTCTGCGATCCCTCCTACGTTCCCCACAGAGCGCTATCCCTTTCGGAGATCCAAATGGAGTCCTATGCCCGCTTCGACAAGTTCATCCGGGATTGCGTAGCCTTTATTATCGACAAGAAGGTGATGAATATTGAGGACAAAAAGCAGCACTTTTGCTGTGCCGTTCAAAACCTGACCAACATCCTGATGAAGTTGGTGGGCAGTGTCTACAATACGAGGACTCCCACGAGTACGAGCGTGGAGTTTGCGGTGAGCAGGTTACCTGTATTGTGATATATATATATATTAACCGATTGCCCTTCCCCCAGAATCTCTGCGCTATTGCCTACAATGATTTGGAACCGCGTGTCCATTCGATTGTGGAGGAGATTGAGAACGAGGGCTTCGAGAACTATACGGTCAATAAGCAGATCCAGATAGACCGAATCATCGACTACTTGAACACCATCAAGCTGCTCCAGTTAGTGAAAGATGATAGCCTGGGTAATCTTTTGCTTGAGAAGGTCAGTTCTTGATTCATGCCTCGCATTGACAGGCAGTCTGATTCATTGATTACTTTTGGTTCTGGTTTGTGACCAGTTCGACCATTACTAACATTCTTTGTAAAAAACTAAGTCGCCGGCTTTACGACTTAGGTAAAAAACTTACTGATTCCTAAGTTTTTACTTTGAAAGTGAGTTTTAGGTATTTATCCTCCTTTTTTCTAAGATTCAACAATTCGCGAGTAGTTTCTATAAGTCATTCAGCTACATTTAAAGACTGAATCATTTTAATACATGGGGCTGTCATTCAGTACATTGATAATTTGTTGTTGAATCAACAATTTAGTATTATTTTATATTAAAATGTAAAATAAAGGCTTAAGGTTTAATTGAACATTGTCATAAAATTCAATTTGTACTATTTTTCCGTTAAAATACTTAATGATATAAACGGAAATGAATAAGGCTTCCATATAAACCTGTAAGTGAATCACATAAATTGTACGCTAATTTGATTAGATTTGTACTTTTCCGGTAGTATATCAGTTATGAATGAATAAAATTCGGAAGTAAACAATTAATCATTATGACTGTTAGGGTTTGTTATCTAATTGTTCGTTTATTGAATTAGACATCGACAATTATGGTAAACATAACTGGTTTGGAAAAGGAAATAAATATGTATTTATTTTTTTACAAGCTTGATGATTGTTTCACCCATAACAAAGCCAACAGTTCTCGGCTGATTTTTAAAATCCAAATCTACCATAAAAAAACATTTTTAGCTTGAAATGTTATTCGATCTATGATCTTCCATTATACGACTATAATTTTACATGGCTTTAACAAAAAAACTAAATAATTCCATAAACTTGGGGAAAATTCGGGAAAGCATAAATGACTGGGGTTAATTGTTTGCCCCTTTTAAAAGCCACCATTATTTTAGATAATTTCCAATTATAGGCTACCACCGAGTATCCCAGTGACGAACGCTTTTGGTTCTACATGCTTATCGCGAACATGGAGCGTGGCGATCTCGACAAGGCTAAAATGTACTTCACAAAGAATCACCTGGCGGACACCCACGACTATTTTGCGTAAGTAGTGTTCTATTGATAACCACACATTAAAAATCACTATCTTATCGATCTGATATCGACCGACATTCACAGGGGCTGGATCAAATTGTACATCAACTATGTGGACACACGGAATAATCCGGAAACATCGGCCGACTGCACGGAGTGTCTTTTGAAGAGCATCACCAACTACGCTGAGAAGAATACTCGGCAGCAGGATGCCTGGATCCTGCTATATTGTTATTACAAGCGATTTAAGTACGAACCAGGCTGTGCCTTTGCCCGCTGGCGATTCGAGGATCAGCACACGACCAGTCGGGTCAGCTCCTCCAATGCTCCGCACAGCCTTTGGGGTCTTTGCCTGTCCATGGAGATAACACTTCCTCCTGGTCGAGGAACCCTCTTCTACGAGGTCTTCAAGATCTTTGTGCGCCTGGGCCTCTACGAATTTGCTCAGGTCGTTTTTGCTGCCGTGGAGCATCTGGTTAAGGATGCGGATCGGTATATGATCAACACACAGTTGGCTATAATGCTTAACCAAATCGATGAGGACTTTGTGCCACAGAGTTTTGAATTTGGAGAAGGCGAAGAAGCTGATCAACAAGTGTGTATTTCGTGAAAGGAGTCCAAGACATCTAGTAAAAAAAATTCCTTTACAGACTGCCATGAATGCCCAGATCAATGGAAATGTGGAGTTCCTTCGTGGAAACCTGCAGGAGGCAGCTCTCTACTACGAGTGCTGCCTGACCTTGCCGCCCCCAGAGAAGTACGAGCGCGATTTATTCGAGGTCAGCCGACTGCGCCTGGGATACATATCCTACGAACTGGGCGACTACCACAAGTGCATCGAAGCCCTCAACTTCACGTTCGGTGGAGGGACGCTGACCCTCGTCGCAGACTACATGATAGGAAAAGCGTACTACAAATTGGACCACTTGGAGATGGCGCTTCAGTGCTTTGCCAAATCCACCCGGATTGACACCCATGTGCCCAACGTTTGGGGCTTTCTGGCGCTTATCAACCTGCGACTAGGCGAAAATTACAAGGCCATCGAGTGCTGGAAGTACGCCAAGATAGTAAGTGCATACTTACATGCTATATATATATATATATAGGCTATAGAATTCGAACTTTAAATCATAGCTACTAACAATATTACCTTTCAGGAGCCAAACCGATCGATTGATGACCTTATGATCTACGAGGAATTGGATGCCATCGACTACGATTCCGTTGAATTGTACATCGATATACCTAGTCGGTTGAGCGAGGACATCTTCGAGGAATCGCTGTCAGGCGGGTAATTTCTATATATTTTGTGTGTGTTTTGCGCTGTGAACTCGAACCCATAAAGTGCAGCATTCTGGCTGCTCTGCTCTGTTCATAATGGCTTCATCTGGGGCTGCTTCGGATGAAAGTGGCACGGTGTGGGGGTTGCGGTTGGCTTTATTACCTGTTTTTTTTTTTGCTGTGAGGCTCATTTGTTGCTGTTTAGCTGGCGTGACTTGTTGACACAAGGTAATGAGACAGGGGCACCAGCAATTTGCTTACATAAGACCAGTCCACCAAGCAGGCCACACTCAACACACAACCACACGGCAGTAGCAATGTCCTGGCTTTTTATAGAACACATCCGAGACTTAAAAAGCGCGCTGCAGTCAGCATCCAAACATGGCCCATGCAGGTGGCATCTGCTCATCGGCTGTGCTCGACGAGAAGCCAGCGGCCTGTGTGGCCAGCAGCACAGCCTTGGCCATCAGGAACTCCACGATAATCGCCCATCGGCTGTCCATTTATCTGCCCCAATTGTTGCTGCCCTCGCGGGATCCCCAGAAGGTAAGGTTTCGCCTTCGTTCTTTCTGCTTAAATATATATATTTTAAATGCTGGAACTAAAGTTAATAATTAATGAAAAAATATTACCCAGCATAATGTTTGCCAAAAGGTAACAGAGTATTACAGTAATCCATAGTTGCAGTTTATAATTGCTTTTTTGCTTTCACAGCTCATTACCGAAATAAACTGTCATGTGGCCCAATTCCGGGAGCTGCTCATCTTCATAGGTCAGGCCCGGGATTCCCCAGAGCTGCGCGAGAAGATTAGAAAACTGAGACGGAACTGTGTGGATGCCTGCAAGCACACCGCCCACTTGATCACTCCTCAGCCGAGGCACTGTTTGGGAAGTCCCAGTGAAAGGATGCACTTGACCCTGCTCTTTCATCTCACCCAGCAATTTCAGCACGAGCTGATCAAGAGCCATCGTTTGATCCAACTAGTGCCTTTGGACATGACGGATTACTATGGTTAGGTAGAAGATATATAGCAAATAAAATAGGGTTTAAAATGTTTTGTTATCTCCAGCTCCTTCTCGAACTGCCCCTTCCAATCTCGGCAATGTCATCAGCCAATTCCTGTTGTGCAAGCAAATTAATCCGGATTTTCAGCAGGAGGAGCTGTGCAGCATTGTCAAGGACTCTCAGGAGCTGACAGAACTTTTGGAGGAGCTGCAGGCCCACATGCCCTTGGCAGAGGCATCTCCTGAATCCGAACTGGATCCGACACAGAAATGTGAGTTACTTAATTAGTTTTTAATACATGTTATTATATTCGTATTATTCTTAGCTGAAAGCAGTCTTGTTTCCCTCAACACTCCGGTTTGGTATGCCCGCCAGCGAAGAAGGAGTTGCAAAACCAGGAGCCGCAGTCTCTGTTGCTGTTTGGCCAGAAACCAGACCAAAACTTATTAAAGTCTTAGATTCGTAGAGATAACAAAAGAAAGTAATCGGAAAGAAAAAAGATTACAAGGTTCTGTAGGAAATGGACTTCCCTTTTGAAACGTCTTAGTAATGTATTGAAATGTATCACCTAGGAAATAGTGATTTTAAATCTATAAACAGGTTATTAAGTGTGTAATAACTGCAATGCTCAATGATAACGAAACAACTTTGCGACCCGATAAAATGTTTTCCCAGAAATGATAATAGCAGGTAATACCGGCAATTTGGGACATCAAAGACGTCCAAGGCAATAACCATAATGAAAGCGATTAAGAGAAATACAAACAAGAAATACAAATTGAGAGTAGCTGTTTTCTCGTTTTGCGGAATCCCAAAGAAAATGATGAAATCCGAAATCTGTGCCCCCTTCGCAGACAAAGGGCGATAAATTCACCGAAAGCAGGAGAAATCCCGCTTTACGACGACTAAGAAAGATGTCACATTTATTGGCGAGAATCCCCAGAAGCCTCCAGTGTTTACCCACCACTTAGCGCGACAGGTGATGTCGGCTTTGCCCACCTGGTAACCATAAATGCTGATTAGATTCCGGCTTACACCGCGTGCCTCTCGTCATTGGACAATGGCACACAGGTTAAGCGAAGCGCGATTCCGTGACTAGCTGATATTGCGCCTTGACAACAGAGAATCTAGCATTAGCATAATCAGAATACATTTGTTTTGGTTTTTGCATAGTTTAAGTTTTAATTTTAAAAATATGCCTTTGTCTTTTACAAAACATATCTCTACATTAAAAATATATATATATATATATGTATGTGTATATTGTATGCAGATTTATATGGTATATAATATATAGGTGTATATATTAGGTATAAACTTCTACTTGTCATATGGATTTTCACAGAAAATCTTCAACTTTTTGAGTAATGCTTTTTAATTGTTTCCTTGTGCGTGTTCCTACATCCTTAATTTTGCATCTTATTCTTTTCTCGCGCTTTCACTTTCCTCTTTGGAGAGACTGTGCAATCCTGTAGTTACTTTGTTGAGCATTATGCAATATGGAAGATTCTTTGTTACGCTCACTGAGCCCTCCGGCTGCACCATCGCAGTTTACTTTGATCTGTGCTCGCGGATCTCCTCGCTTCGAACAAGCTTTGACACAAGGCAAAAAGCAACAACAACTAACTAATTGTTAACAACAATCTCTACACGATTACACGGGCTGTTTAGTGTGTGTTATACAAAAACGACGTTAGACATTTGCTACATCATTATAAATTCACTATTTGTTCACGATTCTTTCTGGCTAATATCACCGTTATCACTGCAATGCCTAAACTCGGCTTAAGTCTAAGCAGAAAGAAGTCTTTTCCTGGATAGAATAGGTCTTGTGTGCAAACAAAATGGTGCCATTAAAAAGTAAACAAAGGAACTAACTTAACTGCTAAGAATTTGCATAGTCACACAACGAACGAAACGAAAACGAAACCAGTGAAATCATAAAACGAAAGAAAATTGTGAAAAAAAAAACAAAGAGACTCAACACTGCACAACAATAAAAACTAACAACTAAAAAGCTTAGCAATAAGGCCCTAAATTACGGGTGAGAGACTGTGTGTTTTTGTGTGGAGGTGGAGCTGTATCTGCTACAGCTTTCAGCTGTCTGCTATCCGGATGAATGGAGCTGTGGCTGTGTGCGGAGGTGTGGCTGATGTGGAGGCGTGTTTTGCAGTCTGGCTGTCGAAGGAACTGTGTGCGGTGGACCGCGCTCTAAATGCGACCGCTTTTGCTCGCCGTCGACGTGGACAGCTGTTCCAGGCGAGAGCACAGCTCCTGGGCCAAACGCAGTTGATTCGCGGCGGCGGCGGCACACGAGGTGGCGGCTCCAGAGGCTCCTCCAACGGGCATCTGGACTCCGGCCAAGACTTCCGGATAACTTATGCACACGCCCACCCAGCGAGCTTGACTGCAGGCATGGGACTGTAAGGAAATAAAAGGAAATGTTTAGTTGGGTACACAGATATGAAAGAACTTTGTTGAATTTGTATAGCTCGAACTTAAGGCGCAGTACTATTTTATTTTCTAAGAAACATTTGTTTAAAGAACCTACCAAAAGTTCTCTGTTCTCAAAAAAATAACCTCAATTTTAGTTCCCGGCTTTCAATGTTTATTTGTGTTGACTTATCAACAATGTATAAAGGTGTCAACCGAAGCTGTTATGTATATTAAGCTTTGTCAATTATTATCGGTTTCATTTTTTGTACTCGCAAGAAATTAGTATCCATCAAAATGGGACTAATAGAAAGACTCGGCAAAGCAAACAATTAATTTGAGATAAAGAAATTTCAGTTTGACGAGTGACAATCCAGGAAATTAGGTTTTAGTTCGAGTTATGGAAAATTCGACAAGGGGAGCTTGCACTCGGAGAAGTCAACTCACCATGGCGAAGTCACGTTTCCATTGCACACCGCACTGGCCGTCGCAGAGGGGACAGGGACGCTCCAGGCTGTAGCCACCGCACTCGCTGCAGTCGAGGGACACATGGTCATCCGTCCAGGAGACGCCGCAGGTGAAGCAGGAGCCCATGTGCTGGCGCAGCTCCTCGATGGTCAGCACGTTGTCCATGCTGATCTCCAGGGGACTTCCCACCAGATCTGGCAGCGAGGCAGACAGACCCAGATTATGATGCCTGCAAGAGATTAAAAACGAAGCGGGGAATTCTCGATTAGTAATCATGACAAATTGTGGCGGGCGTCGGTTAACCGTGACCTTGCCAAGTGGTTGGCGGCATGCGCTGGCGTGATTATGATAATGAGCTGCGTGCCGGCAGGCAACGCGGGATGGGTTTAGGGTGCTGTGGGAGTGTAGCCGGGGATGGGGACGAGGGCAATGATTGGCGACTGTACTGCGACGACTCTACGGCGAGACTTTCGCCCGATCATGTGAGCGATGGCGACGGGCTTTTGTTGCTTTTGTGCGGCCCCAAAAAGCGAAATGATAATGATACGAACGCGAATATATACAAATATATATATATTGCTGGTTGTATACAAACACAGACGGACGCTGAGCTGTTGAGCTCTGAAGGTGCTGGCCCCCTTCATTAATGGGCCAAAGTCGTGGCCAAATTGCAGGTGTGGTTGTCTATGGTATTGAGTTGTATTGTATCGACTGGAATTGCGGTTGTGTACTCTGCACCCTGGCCCATTCCATTCGCCGCTCGATAAGATTGCTAAAATCATGAATGAGACACCCAACTCACGCCCCTTTCGTATCCCCCTGAATCAACCCTGACATTGTTTACACCGAAATTTGGCAAATACAAAACGGAAACGAATCGTATCACTTCCAGCTAAATGAATCATGTGTGCGGGATCTATAGATGGGCATCTAAATTTGAATACTTACGACAACGGACTGCAGATGTCGGCGATTTGGGGACCGTGAACACTGGCGATCGACATATTGGCTGTTGATGGCACTGCAAAGAGGAGGAAAAGCATAAAGTCAGTTAAAGTTCATCAAAAGTTACAAGGCAACAGGGTTCAATGCTGGCCAGGTAAATGCTTGCAAGCGAAGGTAAACAAGCTTGTTGTACAGGTGCGTGACTCAAATGTCAGAGCTCGACTGTACCTAGCTTCTGGTACCACAGAAGATCATTCAAATGCGATCGATATAGACATACTTGTATATATCATTTTCCAGCAGCAACTCGGACGACATTCTTGGCTAAAATTAACAACTATTTGTGGGGAGACTGAAGGTGGAGTGCGCGGTCCACGAACCGCTGAAATCCGGTTGAAAGCACCATAAACACACCGAGGCCGCCGATCAGAGTGATCAGTGCGTCATCTCTGTGTAGTTTCAATTGTTTAGGGGACGGACAATTAAAAACTTTAATGTGCGAATTATTTGGAATTGGAAGCGGAACGTTAATTGCTTGTGTCTCCATGGGGGAATACTGCCTACAAGGTATACTATATACTATATTTATACGACCTGTCTACATTGTCGCCACGATTTTGGCAAAGTTGCCAAAATCTTTGTTGGCGAGGCACATGATTGCCGCAGCGTCTGCTGGCCTGGCATCATAATAAATAAATAAGATTTCTGCGTTGTTATGCGGTCAGTCGTTGGACGTTCTATATTTAGCTGGATCGTATCGAGAAAGTATAATCATGAGACGTGCCCGAAATAAACATAAAAGCGAACAACATGCAGTATAGTCTGGGCTGTGGTTTGGATCTCAGCTAGCTGCAATTTGGTTTGAATGCTGACTACTGGGGGCAATTTTCAACAACGGCAACGGCGCAAAAACGAAATTGCTGTAATTTATCCGAGCATATTGTGCCGCACACACAACTAGTTGCATTTAATTTGATTTTATTTATTTATAGAAGGGCACACACACAGTCGCACAAAATCGGAGGGACACAGACGAGGCGCTTAATTTTTTGTTCAGTTATTTTAGGCACGGAAATACTTACATTTGTTGTGTTATTTACGGCAACAGTTGTTTTTCTTTTATTTTTTCAGCGCTATTAATAAATCCAAATTGGGATTTCTGTGTTGTTTTATTTGATTTGTTGTTGCAGTTGTTGTTGCAGTATTGGTAATTGTAGTTGGCCTTGCGTAAGCCAGAAAATCAAATTACTTTTTTTATAATTGCCTGGATATTAACATTAACCGTTGGCAATTGTTTTTATATTGTTTGCAACTTTTCACACGCGATGCGAGACAGTTAGCTCATGAAAATGCAATTTGCAGTAATAATAATGTATATCTGAATGCAATTGTTTGACAGCGACTACAGCGCACTTTTATAGTTGGACTGGGAAGCGAAACTGAACTGAGTTGCTGGGAACTGAATGGATTTTCACCAGATTCGAATAGTTTTCTCCAGAGCCGAAAGACCAAAAGTGGGCTAGCACGTCGAACCGCGAAACTCAAATGAACGGCGCTCGCTGAAATCGCCCCGCTTTTATAGGCGATCGAGGCAGCGAGAGCGGGAGCCAGTTGGCGGAGAGATTGCGAGTGGGAGAGCGGGCGAGTGATATTGCTTGCCTCGGATGACAAAGCAAAGCTAACGAACTGCGGAAAAAAAAACAAAACAGAACTCGAGTGGCGTGCAAAACTCGTAATAAACATTAACGGGGGGTAAAAACACAAGCGAAATGCCAAAACAAAGTCAGATGCTGACCAAATTAGCGGTAGTTGGCAACAGGAGCGGTTCTCTCGGTGAACCCAAGAGAACGAGAGATAACAAAACAAAACAATCTGAGAAATAACGAGTGTCCCGACCATAAGATACCCGTTACTCGTTGTCCGGCTACAAAATATGTAGCCTATCTTCTGGCATTATTTGTCATTCGCAACCACATATTAAGGAAGTTACCATCCTTAAAAATTATTAGATATTTTTAATTCAAACCTATTAAAAGTATGCAAGTGTCAAAGATCCCGATCTACATTATTTTGTGGCACCCATTGCAAACGATTTTTCAAACACAACATACCCTATCCACTATAATGTAATGGGTGTCAAAGCAGATAACGAGAAATCGTGAGAGAGCACATTTAACGGTCAAGCGCAGCGGGCGGGCACCCTTACACCCATACTTGTGCCGCTTATACCTCCTCCATACGCCCCATCTGCCGGTCAGTACGTATACGACACATTGACCGGACGGACACTATAGTACAACGACTAGGTGTAATCGCCCGCGGTTATTGACGCATGTCCAAGAAGACGGCAAAACAAGATGCCCCCTGGCAACCGTCAGAAGAATCGACGTTCGCCTTTCATTTGAATAACAAATCATTTTGCGCTATGACAGGTAGAGCGCCAGGCAAGGACAGGGACGGTTACGGGTTCGGATTCGGGTTCGGGTCCGTGTCCGTGAAAACGGCGGCAGGTGAAACACCAGAGTGAATGGGCTGAATGCAAAGGACAGGCGACAGTGGGAGGTAGCCGAAAATTAGATCCCCGGAAAATGGGCAGGTAGAAAGCATCCCTAATTAGTAGATCCGCAAAACCAACGGAAATTTCCATTAGAGGGTGTTTTTCTGCTAATTACAATGGTGTCATCGGAAAAATAACATGTTATTTAAACAATATTTAATGCATTTTTAAATAATAATAAATATCTCAAATAAAACGAATTCAAAACATTATTTAAGAATGAATCGATCATTCTGTGTAATTTTCCTTATTAACTATCTTAAATTGATTGCAATTTTTCATACTTGTATTTGTGCTCGTTAAAATAGATATTAAATCATCTCAAGAAGACAAGCTGAATGAAATATTTTTGCTCTGCGAATACTTCCCCACCATAAATACACATAAACGTTAACACACACACACCACTTTTCGCTTATCAATCTACCAGTAATCTTATCAGCAAAGTCTGCCCCCTTTTCCTCCTTCATTTCAGCAATGCGCGTGTCTCTGCAGCAAAATGTAGGAAAGTAAGTGTAATGGTGAAACCCATTCGGTATGTATAATATGAAGACGAGGTGACTCCCGGGGCTGTCATCCCGCCGGAATGGAATTTTTAGCTAGCGTTAGCATGTTAATAGGAAAAAAGTTGGCAAAGTGCAGCTAGACCCAGCTTAACTTATGCATTTGAGCCGAGATCCAAGGCGCGCGCGTCGTATCGAAGGCGTTTCGAATTACGCCAGCCCAACGAAAAGGGAGCAGGGCGACCAAAGTCAAAATCCAAAACCAGAGACGAACCAAAGCCAAATCCAAGCGACCCTCGCCAAATTAATGCAATTCAGCGTCAGAGGCGACGGTCAACCGACTACACACATCGGTCAGTCGCACACAACCGCATAAACTTGGGAACAACCTATAGTATAAACAATTAATGTTTATTTAGAAAGCAAGAACGAAACCCTCAAGATCCGGGCACGCTTTTCACTGGCATTCAACTTTTGTCGAGGCGCAGTTTCTTACTTCTGTGCACGGAGAAAAATATAATCAGATATAAACTGAATAAATTGATACTAATTTATACTAACACACAATCTGTATTATGTTCTCAGTTTCAACCAAACTAATTCTTAATAATTGAAAACTTTCTATAAGATTTGTTCCTAAACTCGAACACTATGAAAGTGTTTTTATGCGCAGAACGACTCTGGAGTTACGGGTATTCAATATGAGATCCAAAAAACCAATATATTAAATTGATGACTGCTATTACCTGGTGTATTAAATGGTATAATATTGGGTGGCACTTTAGTTTTCAGTGTGGAGATGAAATCGGGGGACCATTGTCATCGGAGAAGGTCGCACGGCAATTGCCTGAGAAGCTCACACAAAAGAGACAGTCTCACCTCAACGGATATTGCGTCAGACAACGTGAGGATATTAGTCCGAAAATAACAATATTTAAACAATATTTTGCAAACCTTTTAAAAACTTATTAAGTGCCCCGCACTCATGTGTGTGTATTTTTATACTCTTCCTCGAAAGCCAATCCAACTGCAAATTGGTTTATATCGATTTCGCCTTATAAATATCCAGTATTTTGCACCGACATATTTTTTTTAAGAAGCCCATACGAATATACAAGTATATACAATTATATTTCACAAGCGGATGATCTAGAGTAACATTTGTCCGTTATTTTTTATCTTATCGCTTGATTTATACGCCAACAAAGGTGCAATCAACATTTCAATATATTGGATATCGTAAATATAAGTTTATAGAGGGCTATTGCTAAAATATTTATTATTTGACATTTTTAAACAGATATTATTTGACGCACGGCAATATACCTGATTATTATTTTCCTAAATGCGCATAGAATTCAATAGAAATTCCTATCTATAAAATGTACTATTGTTTATATTTTTAAACCTAATTAAATTTGTAAATTATTTAAACTGTCCTACGCTTGTGTTTTTTAGTTGGCAAAAATTGATTTAATAGACATAAGTCAACACCCCGACTTAAAAGCGCATTTAACTAGCGTTCAGCTTCTCAAAGGTTCTAAATTTGTTCTATGATAGGTTGTTGTATTTTTAGATCATTGCCTATTGTGCTCCTCCTACATTAACGTTTTTCTATTTAATCTGTTTAAAAATTAATATCAAGAAAATGTTTTTGCTTTAAACTAAAATTAAATATAGTTTAGAACTGTGTTACTACGCCTGCTGTTATCAATACAGCTCAAAGACATTATTTACCCAGCCCGAACAGGGTATTGCAATTGCACATATGCCATAACTATAGTTTCTGTTTGCCAAGATAGCCCCTTGGAATCATGCATAACCACAGTACTCAAGTGCTGCTTGAAGACATGCGCTTCCTCTTTTGGATTTGGCCTGGCCGCGAGTCTCTAGCTTCGCTTTGAGCTCTGTTTTTGAACAGTTTGCTTCGCAGCTACGCAAACAAAGCTGCTCCTGAATGTAGCTGTTAATTATTGTTATGGGTGGACGTTGTGACTGGTGTGTAAACACACAGCACACATGCGGATGGATCCGTGACAGCCAAATGCAAAAACAAAGGCGTCCACGGCTTGACGTCAATTGCAAGTGGGAAATCAGGAACCCAGCCCCGAAAAGATAGCGGCAGAAGCGCGGCTTTGTTTTGCTTTTGATTTTGAATATCGAACACCGTGATCTGGAGTTGTGGGCGGCTGATTCATTAAGTTATGGGGAATCTACGACTCTTGCTTTTTTTTTGGCCAGTCAGCGCCGCACGTTGATCATTAAATTCATCTTCGGTCAGAGCGTTGCTTCCATCATCACATGCTGATGCTAATGAGTTCGCTCGAATGCGACAAACCCGTTCCATGGGATTCCCTCGCCCCGAGATGCGAGAGTAAACAAACAGAAATCGGAATTCCAACCTGCGGCTGTACTATGAAAACCGTTTACTTAATTAATGGGGGAAAAGTACCCACACGAATATCGTGGTAAACTGCCAAAACGGGGCGTGACTCCGTCTGGGCATAATCCAACGAAAGTGGCTATGGGTTCTATAATCGCAGGCCAGATGAGTGCACTTAGCATTCGACTCTATCCCCACCATCACCCCACTCGATCCAACGTCGATCGGAAAGATTTACGATCCCATCTCGCCGGCCGCCAGACGAAACTGTTGACAAGGGCAATTAGAATGCCGACGAACGACCCTGACCTTTGGCCCCCATTGGGCATACTAATTTCCATGGGTTTTGTAAGTCTTCCACGTAATTCATTTGCATACCGTGACAGATAAAGCGATCATGTCAATGAGAAATGGGAAAATCTCCTATAAATAGGTCTATGACATGTTATCTCACGGCATCGTTTGCAATTTATAAATACTAATACATAATATATATCTTGTTGTTTGAGAACGGCGATGACTGATACTGGCTGCGAAGTCATTGCGACCCTGTCCATGACTGAAAACCCCCAAGAAGGTGGGTCTCATTGAGCTCTGGTTTAAGTGACCCTGGCCCTGGAAATGTGTAATTCACCCAAAGAAATGGAGCTGCATTCCTCAATGAATCTGACGATGAGTTATTGCCGGACTACCTTTATTAGCAGTCTCCATTATTGAGTATACTGTTTTTTTTGTCCTCTTTTGAATTTAAATTGAGGGGTTTTCCTCAATGTATAACATTATCTAAATGGTAAAAACCCCTTATTGCTATCATAAATAAATATTTTTTATATTTGAAGGGAGGGCATTAGCGTATTCTTCCAAATTATCTATATTGGGAAAACGTATTTCCTATATTTAAAAATAGAACGTGTTCTATTCAGGTTTAATGACGCCTTTTTAATATTTATAGATCTCGTTTCATTTTCTCTGAACAGTCTCGCGATTTATAAACACGATTCGTACGTAACCTTCACTAGACTAGACGGCAATGATGTGTGATAAAACACCTTAGCTGATTAGATCAAAGGACAATACGTAAGAATAATAGGGTAGGTTCTAGGAACAAAGTATCA